CCGATGAAATCACTATGCTCCCAGTTTTGATTGTGAATAGCGATTGGAAATATCTATGCTTAACTGAGTAGGTTCTTTAAGATACGAGTGGCGATAGAGTACTTCCAATAAAAAGCCCGCGGGTAGCAGCATTTTGAGAAACCTGGCTATCTAGGTTGTCTCCCTTGCCCATAATCGATAGCTTATTGACATTTTTGCAGATATCATCGTCTTAAATGTGACTTGTTAATACGAATGGAAGTTCGCTTATGACTAGCGCCCTACTGCTTTGATACACAGGCCGTCTGTAATGAATAATTATAGGGAACTTTTATTTCGGTAAAAAAATATATACTTGACGATTACCTAACGCCAACCTGTGCGCGGAGACGGCGTAAAAATTTTGGAAAATCACTTCAACTACGGTAAGTTAACACTGCTGTTTGGATAACTTAGGTAAAACTATTCTTGGAGATGAAGACCCTTCAGATGGTTCAGACGTGATTACCTGCCAAGGCCAGCTGTGTGGAACTGCAGTGTCTCCACCAAGAATTTTAGTTTCGACGCCTCCATCCGTAGGTCGAATGCCACAAGTGGCACTCAGGTTCTTCAGCAGTTCCGATGGTCCTAACAGAATGGTAAAAAACATTATGCATTGTCTACGCAGGTGACGATGCCAGTAAAGACATATTAGTGACGGACAAAGATAGTCAGTCAGTTAGTTAAATTTATGTATCTATGCAGGTTTACAGCGTACTATCAAAACCATTTCGTTCAAAGACCCCTTTTGGGTTATGTACCGGTTGTGCGCTATCCTAGGCTACACGTTAGAGGTTTATCCCCTAAGGAGTACACCCCCTTCGAGCTACGGCCCTATCTCATGTCAGCAGAGATCAGAAACCGTTTTGGCTATATGACAAGGAAATACTTCGATCAATCCCAAATTCCGAAACGAAGTGAAAATTTAACTGCTTTTTTCTGGAAGCCGTGAGGCTACGGTTTACATAGGCAGTAGCTTCAAAAGTCTTGCCGGTGAGATAAGATTCTGCCTGCACGATCCGCAAATCAAAATCAAAATATGGCAAAGGTAGTTTAAGTAGCGCACCTACCATACCCCTAGTCCCAGCATTTTGTCCTACGGAAACGGTGGTTATAGGGGGGGTTTGGCGGTGGGGAAATAGAATAGGCAGTGTAAAAAAATTGTAGAAGTAAGTGTGAAGTGGAAAAATGTAATTGAATTTGTTTCCAGCTGCCCCTAGGACTAAGGTGCTCTACATGTTCCCAGGTAAGTTGAAGTAGACAACCTCCTAACCACCAATTCTATTTTTCAGGAATTTCGAGAAAACTGCATATTGATAATCAAGTTTTTCCGCAATACGTAAAGCGATAATACAGATGAGGAAAATCTGCATATATAAATCAGCAGCATTTCTAATAGAATAAAATAAAAATGCATATAGCAGTTATCAAAGTATACTCCACTGCCTATCCTAATTCTTCACCCCCTAAACCCTTATAATCACCGCTACCGTAGAACAAAATGCTGGGACTAGGGGGTATATGAGATGTAGTTATCAAACTACTGTTTCCCAAATATGCCCCTTCTCTGTTGGGTTAGTGCATTTTACCCTCAGTGATTTGACGTTAGACTCCCTAATGTTTCTATGTTACTGAGATTGCCAGCGTCGTAGTTTCCTACTGAAGTC